ATTATGCATTTAAATGTAATGCTGGCAGCCTGCTACTAAACCAGCATCACTCTACTTGATACGAGATAAATGAGATAAACGAGCTTTGTAGGATAATAATATAGTTTATAAATGTTTATAGAACAATTTTACTGTTATTTACATCCAATTTTCTAGATTTCTCTTCGGAATTTTATCACAAAATGATCCGCATCATCCTTTTTATCCCAATATGGAAAAGGAAGAAAAAAGTGAGTTTTTATAGATAATATGAGGAAAATTTGGATAATTTTAGCATAATTATTTAAAATTTATGCTATTTTATAGATAAATATGATAGAAAATATATTTCCATATTTAATATGGGGAATGTATAACGTTAAAAATGCCATATTGGATGCTTATAGTGAGAGAAAGATGATATATTTTCAGAAGAAGATTATTGATAAAATGGACAGATTTTTAAAGAAAATACTACCTTAGTGACATACTTTTATTACAAAAATAACATTTTATGTAAAAATTAATGATATATCGACTAAAAATAATCTAGATGATGAAGGATGCTAACAGTTTTTAATGGGAAATCATCAATGAAGTAAAGAAATTTATATCACCTTAATAAAGAAAATAAGGTAAAATAAGGGATATTCTATCGATAAAAAGTCACAAAATATCCCTATAACTCCTAAAAAAAATGTCAAAATATTTAAAAGTTGGAGAAATGTTTATAAATTATGATGATATTTTTAACATTAGGAAATAATCGACAGAAAGGAGGGAAGACAGCATCAATTTTTGGCTCTCGTGATTAAATAAATGATGTAGAAATGTTATGCACGCATCCCAAGATGAAGAGGAGGAAAGATGAAAGCAATTGTCGGCTTGTCTCTTTGTATTAATGGAGATTTACGCAGTTTATCAATAGTTGGCATCCTTTCTTTTTCATCCATTTTTCTCCATTCGGTTGAGGAAAGATGAGGAAAAATGGTGGCGTGAGCGTATGTATATATATAAATTTTTCCAAGATAAATTTTCCTCATTCAATATTTTACTCAATTTTCTATAATTTGACAAGAAATCAGAGAAGAAAATGAAGAAAAATTTAGGGGAAATCAAAGAAAAATAGGGTAATGTAATCAATTTGAGGATAAAGATAAACATGAGAATGAAAGAAAGAAAAATTGAGGAGGTTTCTTTGAAAGAAATGGAAATAAAAGGAGTTAGGTGAAAGAAAAATACTTTTATAGAAAGAAGAAAAGAGGAAGAAGAGGATAAAATAATGAAGAAAACAAGGAAGTGGATGAAGAGAAACGTGTAAACGTTTAGGAAAGGTGACAAATTTATAGAGAAGAGTGACAAATTTGGGGTGTTTTTTTAGATGTAAGTAGTAAAAAACGAGTCAAAACACTGTGTTTTTTCGTTGTAAACTTAAAAAATGAAGACAAGAATTGAGTTTTTTAAGCACCTTGAAGAAGAGAAAATAAAAATTTAGATAATTTTTAAGTGCAAAAAAAAATAAAAATGGCGACAAAACTAAGTGTTTTTTTACACGTAGACATTATAAAAGGAAGAAAAATTTAGGTTTTTCTGATGTAAAAACCTAAAATGCAGCTTTATCGTAAAAAATAAGGCAAAGAATTTGGGGTTTTTTTAATGTAAATATTAGAAAAAAAAGACAGGAAATTTAGGTGATTTTTTAAAGTTATAAACACCTAAAAATACCAAAAAATCGAATTTTCTTAAGCATAAACATCCCCCCCCAAGTAAACACACTTCGATCATATCTCTGACTGTTTCAACTTCTTCATCATACACGAATCGATAATTTGGGATGTTGACAAAATAAAAATTATCAATTTTTGGGGGGGTTAAAAAATTTCAAGGTCACCCTTTTAATTTTAGAAATTTAATAAGATAATAAAGGGGATGGGGTGAGGGAAAATACATAAAATTCTGTGAAGAACATCATTAAAATGATCTTGTTTGCTCAATTTTCATCCCTTGGGAGGAACCATTACTTAATCACAAAGTGATTAATCTGTGCGTGTGTCTGTCTGTTTGTTTAATCTCTCTTCGATTTGTATATATATTTTTTCCCCTTTTCCTTCTCCACAAAAAAAAAAACATTCTTCCTTGATTAAATATTTAAATAATTCATTAGTTAAGAATTAAAACGATAATCGCCATTTTTATCCTCATCTCTGAGGATACTGTGAGGTTAAGATGTTTAAATATTTTTACATTAAATATTTAATCTTCTCTTTCTGTGATGCTTCACTTTTGGAATGTTATTTCTCCCATGATATTCGGAAAATATTATTGCTCCTGGCATCCTGTCATTCTCCTTGCAATTTCTATCAATTCTTCACGTTCTTTCTACTGATTATTGTAGTTTTGTACTACTTATCGTCTTTCTAAACGTTTATTTTTCTCGTTATATGGAATTTATAAGCTTAACTCACACATATACTCACACTCACATTCATATTACTACTCACTCTATCATCCATACTCATTAATATCCTTCTCCAGCATCATTTTACTCATACTAATCCCATTTTACGAGTGTGTATATATGTGAGTGTGATTATTTTTATTGCATGCTTTTTAATCATATCATCTAGCATCCTCCACATCACTTTATATAGTCATATATCCTCTTATTATCTCATTTTATCTAAAATCGTTCATCATTATCATCATCTTCTTCTTCCTCTTCTTAATTTTTGAATGTCAAATTTCCCCAAAAAGTAAATTAAAATAAAATCCAGAATTTAAATTGACACCACGGAGTTAAACAAACGAAAAAAAAAGGAGAGAGAGAGAGAGATCCCTTAGGAAAATTTTCTCGCTTGTTTCCGCATCCCGGATGAAGGAAAATAATCCACAAGAAGGGAAAACACGCACAAATTAACATGACAAGGGACAAATGGCCAGATGCTGGAGAGTAAAGTGATGCAGCAACCATATTGTTGGCTTTAAATAAGATAAAAGATTTTTAACTCTCTCATGCAATCGGTAACTAGACAGTAATGTGGGCGAGGGGGGAGACAATGCGAAAAGTAATGACACTTCGTCTGATTCCCCCCTTCTTCTGGATATTGTTGCATGGTTGGAAAAGATTTTATTGGTTTTTTTCCCCTTTCTCTTTCTCTCTTGTGCCTTTCTTTGCTTCTCTTCTCCAGGCTATCCTTTCGCTCCTTTCCCTCTTCATTTCCTGTATATTTTATCTCGATACTCTTCTTTTTCATTATCAGAATGTTCTTTCCTTTCTTCCTTCTTTTCTCTCTTTTTTTCCTATTATTTCTTCTCTTCTCTCTCTTTTATTCATATCTAGAAACTCCTTTTACGCTCCCTTTGCAGCATCATTCCCTTCTTTTAAGCTTTTTCTTATTTTTCTGTTAAATTCCTTATCCTTTTTCCTTGATTTTCGCTATGAGAAAAGTATGACGTGGATGCTGAGCTACTTAATCTAAAGATGTTGTGGATGCGGGTCTACATCCTCTAAATGTGATCGGGGGATGTTGATCTAATTCAACTAAGTATTATGTAGATGCTGATAAATTTCAACTAAATATGATCTGGTTGATGTAAATCTGATGTGGATGCTGATCTTCAGCCTCTACATATGATCTGGATGTCGACTTACTTCACATATAAAAATGATTTTGCTCACTTAACCAGCATTACTTATCTTAATATAGATATGGTTATTTATATAGAGTCGAGGGTTCTTATCCAGGAATTTCTCTACCTTTATTTTCATAATTACCTGGTGAAGGATAATTTGGATGTACTGTTCCTAGATAAGAATTCTTTTAGGTAAATTCCTGTTCTGAAGCTAAGAATTACAGTATTAATACTCATCAACTTTACGTTACGTTTGAAATTTCTCTAAACTTTCCCTAATTTTCTTAAACCTTTCCCCAATTTCCCTAAAATTTTCCCTAATTTTCTTAAACCTTTCCCCAATTTCCCTAAACTTTCCCTAATTTTCTTAAACCTTTCCCTATTTCCCTAAACTTTCCTTAATTTTCTTAAACCTTTCCCCAATTTCCCTAAACTTTCCCTAATTTTTTAAACCTTTTCCCAAGTTCCCTAAACTTCCCCAATTTCCCTAAACTTTCCCCAATTTTCTTAAACCTTTCCCCAATTTCCCTAAACTTTCCCTAATTTTCTTAAACCTTTCCCCAATTTCCCTTAAATCTGGTTTCAATTCTAGAGGTATATAAAGGAGAATTAGCAAATCAGTAAGAGCATAACATTTTCCTAAATTCATATTTCTTCCCCCGTAGCATTTTCCTCTCATTTTCCAACTCCTTCATTTCCTCTTCTGTCTCGCGCTCACGTTATCAGAAATGATTTATGCTCCTCAACCCAATTGTCTGCTTACATCTACCTGATCCATCTTAGTACTTCTGATGAAGGCTACGCAAGAAAAACAACATCGACTTGTTGATTAAGGAACGGAGACAGACACACGCACGTACAGTACACAGCTAGAAGAAGAAGAAAAAAGAGAGACCGCCCCCGCAACACGGATCGAAATAAAATATTCCCAACGTGAAAATTTTATACTCGCAGCATCCCTCCTGATATTTATCAGCTTCATCAATTCTTATCGTATCCTCCTCCTCCGCATCCTCTTTTTCCATCAAGCGTAACCTCTTAATATATGAAAGTTAAGCCGTGTGTAGGTGGATTTAAGGTAACTGTTTCAATATAGGGCATCTTTCACACACTAGTTGATAGGGATGATGCCTTATCTTGTAACAGTGAGAGTGTAACGTATAAACAACCGAAATAGTGTAAAATATTTACCATAAACAGTTACGATAGGTGTAACGAAGTACGGGTTAAGGGAATGTAAACAGAGAAGAGGGAGTGGAAGAATACATAAAAACCGCATCGACCTCCCTCATAATAAATCTGCACGTAACGCATCACTAAGCATAACCATCTGTTGATGTAACGTAACCATTCACAGCTTAGTGTTTAAGAACAGCATCGTTACTCACCCACACTCCTTTCAGCCAGTGCATGTCGATGGAGGGCGAAGAACAAATATGTTAGCACAAACACTTTGTACACCATCGTCACAGGTCAGAGGTCACAGTTCGCGTAACATTAGACGACGTTCCATCTGACAGGAGTCGAGATTCGAATCCAATATGGCGCCGGGGGTCAACACGAGGGAAGGCGCGTGACTAACGTTCCGTTTGATCACCTTAGAAAAAATGACGGTGGTGGCAGATGCGACTTTCTCTGCACCACTCTGCCACTATGGCGACAGTCACAGCTGAGGTAGTACCCGGATGTGCCGGTGACGTCACGTTTGACGTCAGTGGTGCTCCTATCGATTTTCTCCTCCGTTCCGATGTGGGTAAGGTCTGTCTGTACGTAATATTCCGCAGGAATATAAAGCGCGACACTCTTTCTATACCGTTACGCGTTATGTTACGTTCAGTTTTTCACTTATAACGTCTTGTTTTACTAGCCGTTTGAACGAAGGCCTCTTACGTAACGTTCCTCTCTTCGTGTACCGTTACGCGTTACGTTACATTTATATCTTCTGTTATGTATACGCTTGACTAACCGTATTAAGATGTGTAACATTCCGCAAGAGCATACACATTACATGTTACGTTACATTCGTACAATTCGTTTAACTAATCAAACAATCTGTCTATACGTAACATTCATTAGGATTATTACACCTTGTATAACGTTACGTGTTACGTTACACACATACATAATTTTATACGCGTCTATACGTAACATTCCTCAGAAACTCGTACAAGAGAACTCTTCGTAAACCGTTACGCGTTACGTTCCATCATGTCTTTCTCTTACACACGTCATGTTTAAACGCTTAAAGTGTGTAACATTCGCATGTAACATGTGATTTGAAAGGTAAGCCTCACTTAAATTGTAATGTCACGTGACTGGCAGATCCCCTCGTGACTTGTAACGTATTGTATGTACATCTTTCTCCTCCTTAAACTCACGTGACTCAGCGGTTCACGCGACTCGAGGGGTGTAATTCGTACGTTACTTTTGACAAGAGTGATGTCACAGTAGTCACGTGATTGCAAGGTACGAAAGTTTCTGGATAGTCACGTGATGCTGAAAGCGGACAGAGTTAAATTAATAAATTCTGGACTTAAAAAGAAAAAAAAATGTTTAAAATAAAAATATATTTTTTAAGGGAAAATAAAATACTTGACACGAAAACACGCGATTTTTTTCCCTTCAGAATTTTCCCTAAATTATTCAAAAATAAAAATAAGAACTGTTAAAGTTATTTATAGCATCGTAAACTTTACGAAACAAAATCGATAGAAACGATACTCTAGGGAAAATTCCCTATTAATGAAATTTATACGCTTGCTTCAGGGATTTATGTATATTTTTTTAGGGAATTTAGAAAAAATTTTTGATATATTTTTTTTTACAATATTTTCAGATATACACGTATTTTTAAGGTTATTATTTAGGAATATTCTCTAAAATTCTATTGATTTTCTATTTTTCTGTAGTTTAGACATAAACAAATGTACTTGAAAAACGTTTTCCTCTTTGTATAAGGAAAAATATTTTCCCAAAACTAGAGATTGTTTTTTTTTCTCCAAAAATTTCCCTACGTGATTAAAAATATTTAGTACAATGAAGAGAATCCCTAAGACAGATTTTTACAGAAGTTCGTTTCTTTAGGGAATTTTTACAGAAAATTTCACTTAAAGTAATTAAATATCAATACATAAAGCCTTAAAAGTCGTTTTTCAGAAATTTCCCTAAACATTTATTTTAAAGAATAATCGACCCTAAAAAAATCCCTGAGTCAACCTTTTCTTAAAAATTGAAAATTAAATTTAAAAAAAATATAAATTCCCAAAGAGGATTTTACCTAAATTTTAGGGTTTTTTTTAAAGTTCCCTGGGAAATTTTAAATTTTTACTAAAGTTTAGAGAAGTCCTTTGAAATAAATTTGAGGAAATGTATTTTATAGGAATGTTTTAGGAAAATAAATGAAATATTTTCTAAACGCCATTATAAATACCCTAAAATTATAATATTAAAAATGTTTCCCTTAAATTAAAAGTTAAAAAAAGACCAGTTCATTAAGAATTAACCTTAAAATTATTTTGTAAAACTATTAAAACTAAAGCACAAAATACAAAATTCCTGAGACAATTCTAGGAAATTTTCTTTATCCTATCCAGAGAAAAATCCCTAATGTTTAGATTTTTAACATCATAAAAGTTTAACGTTGAATATATTGAAGGAAATAATTACGAAAAAAATTCCCAATTATTAAAATATTTAAAGGAAAAAAACCCTGAAATTTAATTTTTGGAAATTAGGTTCGATTATCTTTCCTTTTTTGGGGAGAATGCTTAGTCGTAGGGAAATTTTTAATCTTCAGGGATAATCGTTAAAATTCCTAGGGAAAAATCCCTAAATTTTATATTTTGATGATGATCAAATTTGAATATATTCAAGGAAATAATTAGGGAAAAAGACCCAATTATTAAAATATTCAAAAAAAATCCCTGAAAATGACAGTCGATTATATTTTAAAATATGTAATCTTTAGTAAAAATTTAAACACTTTTCTTTAGAGGAAAATGCTTAACCTTTGGAAAATTGTTAATTTTTAGGGAGCATTTTTTAATATAAAATTCTCTGCAAGAATTATAAATTAATAAATGAGGCTTTTAACGTAAAATCTAACGTGTCGTAAGTAAAAAGTCAATGTGCTTTTTTTATAGAGCTAAATAAGGTTTTTATCTTTAATTATCGACTGCAGACATTTGTTTTTAGTTGAAAGAGAAAGTGGAAACACGAAAGGAAAACTATTACTTAAAGGTTATTTTTCAGGGTCACGTCTCTGCTTGACTGCCACACGTTTCTCTACTGAAATTTTCACGAGCTTGCTTAACCAATACCCATTTATTAACCTTTATGATCTTATAAATATACTACTAAAAATAAAAAAATGCTTTCTGTGACGTATTTCAAAAATATATCGGGTATTATGACGTATTTTCGCATTAAACGAATTTAATTGGTTGAACAGAATTGTTTATTAATTTTAAATATCGTATACTCGTTCATTGGTCGAGTTATATTTGCGTTAACCAATAAGGTTCGTTTTGAAATTACGTTTTTTAAAATTATCCAATTGTTTTTTTTTTTAATTATTCAAATTTATTTTATTGTTACGTATTTTAATCGATGTGTAATTATTGAAAAGGTTATTTAATAAAACTTAATTTTATTGGATTAGAGTTATTACGTAGCATGACGTTCTCATAAATCATTTAATTACTTCTAACATCAATAAAAATAAATTGTATCGCTGTACTTTGTTATAAATCTGCAGAATATTTAATTATTGGCGTATAATTTGTTAACCTGTTTTTTTTTTAAATACACGTTAATTTTATTGGTTTTTAATTTAAAAAAGTATTAAATCAACGAACGTCGTCCTTCTATCTTACGTTTATCGTAATTTAAATCCGCACTCTCTCTAATTGGTTCATTTAAATAAAGAAATAGCCAATAAGCTTTTAATATAATTTCAAATTTTAAATATTTTTCTAACCAATAAGCGATCGTTCTGTTCCGAGAGCAACGATTCTATTTTAGTTGACTCTGATTGGTTAATTTATAAACCATCGACTAATGATGTTTTAAAATCGAAACGAAACGAATTTAAATCTAAAATAACGAACCAATCAGCTTTTAATACAGGTGTTTTTTAAATTTAAATTTGAAATATCGAACCAATAGGCTTTTAATACAGTTTTTTTAAATTTAAATTGTAATTATTGTGGCTTTATCCTCTTAAATAGAAGATAAACGTAAACAAGTTTTAATTAAAACAAAGTAAATCACTTATTAAATCCGTTTTAATTAAGTTTAATCAAAAGAAAGTAATTTTTTTTATAAAAGGAACAATAAAATTAATTAAATTCGAATTTTCTAGTGCTATTTTAAGTCAAAAAAAATTCTTTGAGCATATTTTTATTGTTTTGAGTAATTCCCAATAATAATAATAAATTAAATCCTTTCTAAAAATCAATTAAATTAAAAAACAAGCAGATTTAAATATAACAAAACAGCGTTTTACGTGGGTGTTCAGGATCGTTAATGAAGCAGAACTATAGTTTTCAGGCATATCCTCGGGGTCAAAGGGCAATTTATTCACGTCTCCAAATGAATTAACATACTCATTCATCAACTTTTTTATATATAAGATAGAAACGGTATTTGGTACAACGTTTCACACACAGCAAGTGGGTGTACCATTCAATTCTCTATATAAAAGGTGTGTTGACACGCTACTACTACTACTACTACAGTAACTATTTTTAGTGTATTCTTAATTGTAGGATCAATTTTTATGTAAATTTTAGTGTTTGAGGCCCGAAATTAGGGTAAAAAAATAATCATTCCTCGAACCTTACATACAATATGTAGGTGTACAATTCAACTCTATGTATAGAAGGTATGCTGACTAAGTTGTTACTAACTACTTGTATTCTTGAATGTTAAAATTTTTGGTGTTTGAGGCCCCACGATATAACGTGTAACATTATATCAAGGAATAAAGTTTTTTAAGAATATTTCTACGTTAAAAATAACCAAAAACAATAAAGTTGAATGTTCTGAATAGATTTATTTTCATCAATCATTATTGAAGCTAAATAAAAAAAGGGGGCATGATTTATTCATTACTCAAATAACCTGATTTATTTAAAGTTTAATCAATAACATTCTACACTGTCACGGTCAATTATAATCGATTTATAGCCATAAAAGTAGTGTTTCTAATGCTATTATAGTAACATTACTCATAAGTAAACTATTATTCTAGAACGGCTTCGGTGCGGAATTTTTTTCCTTCTGTTTTATTGAAGAATAAACCAGATTAGAGGGGAGGAGAATGAAGAGGAGGGAGGAAAAAAATTCCTCTAAAAAACATCCCCCGTACTTAGCGTTCGATAATTGCCATCCTAAAACTCTCACAATAATTTGATAAAACTTTAGCTGTTAATTGAATTAACGATAGACAAATAAAATGTCGGATAGAAGAAAAAAAAACACAAGCAACTTTTCTCCACCCCTATCTTATCTTTCTTTACAGACGTTTTTGGCAAGTGGAAAAAATCCCCTTCACTTCTGAAAGATAAATATTGTTCTTATAACATGTTTTGCTTTTATGCTCTCCTCCCCCTTTTTTTGTCTTTGTGTAAAGACACGCATTCAGAAATTCTTTTCACTTAGTCTTTCGCTATTTGACAAGAATGGATCATAAAAGAATCTTATCGATACTCTATTAGTCTCTTAGAGACACCAACAAACAATAAAAACCCATGGATGCCTTTAAAGAAAAGGGAAGAATTTTTAGCTTTATCCTTCCTCTTCCTAGTTTTAATGGAAAAACAAACAAATAAAAAAAGAGGTTGGCTCAAAAAATATTTAGGGTTTTTTTTTTTAATAACCAAATGCCAACTCGTGTTGCTAGCTAGTGTTCTACTACACAAAATTAAAACGGTAACGGTATAGAACCAAGTTGATAGTATATATATCCAGTGTAGAGGACACACTACTACTATAGAACAGTATCAAAAACACTAATTCTTCGGTCAGACTTGTATACATCTATGTACAAACTCCAGCAACGATTTGCTTAACTTTGCCATTAAGTCCGACCCTACTGGAGATACACACGATCCCCTGTATCTCCCCACCCCCTCGATCTTTAACTACCAAAATTTAATAGAATAAATCTACCTAATAAATAAACCTCTCTGCAAGATTTCTGAAATTTTCGACAAAAATCACAGGAGTTATTAATCTTCAAAGGGGGTAAACAAAATCGTGGCCCCCCACAAACATCCACACAGAGAGAAGGTCCCGATTCCAAAAATGTAAAAGTCTGAGGGGTCATTCTTTGACCGATCGCCACACTTTCCCCAACAGCCGAGAAAGTAAAAACCGGTGTTTATGTATAGGCCCCACCCAAAGTGATTTATATACATACGGAAACAATAGCCAAGTAGTGTTTACCTGTGTTTAAAACGGTGTTTATGGCACGTACACACGCTAGATAACTAGTAATTTTACGTGTCAATTAATTAGCGTTTGAATTTATAAACAGATATTTTTGTGGGGGGAAGGGGGATTAAATACAGAAGTCAGTGACGTAGAATGTTCTTATGTGACGAATACTAAAAGGAATCACGTCAAAAGAATGCACACTCTACACGTTAAGGCACATTTTCTTAATCATTTTCACATCTGAAGCTATTAAATTTTTAAAAATTCAAATTTAAAACTCACAACGTCACAGAATTAAGCTGTGACGTCATTTATTACGTGTATGTGACGTGTGTTGATCTAATTGGATGATCGAAGTTAACTATTTTTAAATTTAAAGACTGTTGATTGTGAATTTGTTTAACATTATTATTATTATTATTTGTGACGTCGATTTTCGTTATTGTTTACGTCACGTATATATAGATAGATGGCGATTGGCTAGTTTAAATTATTAAAATTAATTCATGCGTCGTCACTCTTTTTAACAGTGATATCGAACATTCGAAATAATAATTTAAAAATGGCGAACGGCGATTGGTCGATTAGTAACTAATTTTATTACGACGTCATACGGCTTCTTTCGATTCAACCACCTCCTCGAGTGACGTCACACTGCGTAGGACGTTAACCGATGTGGATTGGTGGAAAAGAAAAACCACAATATTGTTTAAAATACCAAACGTCACAATTAGAGTAGGTCGCCATCTAGACGTAAAAATAGTAACTAATTAAAAAAAAAATTATTATTATTATTTTATAAATGAAAGAAAAAAAAAACACTTTGTTTATTGAATTTTAAAGAAATTTAATTTTTCTTAAATATTTTCGAATGCTAAAATTAATTATAACGGCCGGAAATTAAGGCACGAGTCAATCAAGATGCAATATTACTAACAACATTTTAATTTCTTTTATTTATTTATTATTTTTGTACTGTAATTTTTAAATGTAAAACAACTGAATATCTCCTAAACCGTTTCAAGTTTTATATATAAAAGTTTATCAGTCTCGAAGGCAGAATAGGAATAAAATTGATTTTGCGTTGTCTCCCCCTTTTTGACATAATTTCTCAAAATAAGAGGAAAATAATTAGAAGAAAAAAAATTGGATATAAGTATACATGTTTACACAGAAAAATACCTTGTTTTCGTGAGTGTATAACCATCAAAATTCTTTATAAATTATCACTGATTGTTTAGAACATTGTTTACTTTCTTCTTATAGGCAAAAAGAACATCAATTAAAACCGGTGGATATACCTAGAAGTGTATACATTTATTATTCCACGATAGTTGCTCCGAGCCAAAGTGTGGATGCTGTTTTCTTGTTCCGCTTCCTGTTGTCGGACGAAATTCTTCGTTCTTTTAACTACGGCTTTAAAAAACATCTAGCTTCATATCAAGTTGAATCGTTCCGCTCTCTTCCTCTTCCGCTCCTGCTTAAAAGAAACAAATGAGTTTAAAATGAAAACGTCCATTCAAAAATATCTAAATGCTAGTTTACGTTTGAGATAAATACTGTTGTATTCAAAGCGGTTGGGAGATTGCATTCGTGTTAGCTAATCTTTACGATATGTTATGTTTATTTTGTTACCGATAAAAAGAATATTGGAAAAGTTAAATAAAATATGGCACAAATTCTTGTGATAATGTTAAGTCATTATTTAACTGAATTCATCGTATCAGATATATGCAGCACTTTCTTTACTTGAATGGATGCGTGATATGTGTATAGAGGATAGTGTTCGATGTATCATATATTTATATGGTGGTAGAGGTTTGCGAAATAAACATCTTTAATGAAGCAACCCGGGGTCGGAAGCAAAATTGATGAAGCTGTGGCCCACAGAAAATTTGAATATGCTGTGCCGTTACCGTGTTTCCATATTTACCTTCTCTGTCTCGTCGTGTATGTTTTGAGATAATAAATACTAGGTACAGTACATTCTATACAGAATAGTAAATGAAACTTTGTTGATATTTTCCTGTGTATTTACAATAAAAGTTCAAAGTGGCAACTGCCAATTGCATTATGCAGAATATGATGGGCCACTTTTCGTCGTACTCTCTGGAAGAGTGCTTTTTATTCTGATGGTGTCAAAAATGGAAATGATACAGATGGACAGTTCTTTCTTTGCTTTGATTGATGTTTTGTACACCATGCTCTTTAGGGATCCTAGGAAGTAGAAACAAGGAGGTGAGGCATCCAAATTTTTGTTTTCAACCCTAATTTCATAAAAATACTCTGTTGTCAACCTCTACCAACACTTAAACTTATGGCATGCCAAACATTAACATCCTATTATACAGTAATATCACAAACTTTCGTGATAGGCGGGACTGAGCGATAACCACTTAAGTCGAGTTCTCATAAGTCGGGGTATAATTTCGCAATTTGTGTAAAATCCAAGTCAGATGTATGTAAGCAAATAAATGTTCTCGTTAATCTTATCTCGTCTTTTGATTCGTTCATGGTTACAAGAAATCACCACACACACTCAAGTCTCCGTAGATATAACAAACATTCTACATTCTAATAAAGAGTTAAGAGGGCTGTCTGTTTGCCACAGACTTATGCCCTGTTGGAAATGGAAAGAAGGGAAAGCATGGGGTGTGAAGTATGAAATAAAGTATAAAAGGATAGCTTGAAGGGAAGGTGTGGGACCAGAGAGCGCCTGCATCGGCAATAATTGGGATAAAAGGACAAGCATAAAATAAAAAATAAAATTGAGTACAAATGAGTATAAAAGGTAAGTACAGAAAAATCAAAATGTAAAAAACTATTTACAATATATACATTGCAGACTTCCGGTCGCTTTGACATAAAAATAGAGTCCAAGATGGTTGCTCCTGGTAACATCAAAACATAGAGTTGTTTACAACAATGGAACCGAGAGTGGAGCAACGTGGTAAAGGGGGGCCGTGGCGTTCCCCAATTAGAAAGATTCATCATCTGATGTATAGTCATCCGTGTTGTTTTCTTCTTCTAAGTTCTGTTCGTCGTCCTTTCTATTAAATTTTTCTTTTAGTGCATCGGTCTTGTGAATATAGTCTTCAAAAGTTTTCCAAAGCTTTTTATCCTTAAAGATGTTCTCTGCAGTTGGTGGCCAACTTGGGTTCTTTAGAAGATAGTTATGTAAAAGTTCAGAACGTTGATTATCGTATTTAGTACAATTGAAGGCAAAGTGTACGGCGTCGCCAATGTCAATGTTGTTACAGTCACACTTATTATCTTCCCTTAGGTTGAATCTATGCAAGTAGGCTGGGAAGTTCCCATGGCCTAGAATTACCTGGGTGGTGAGTTTGTTTGGCCTGTAATGTTTAGCTTGCTTACGAATTGTGAATCAGAAATAAATAACACGGAATAAATTGTAGCTATGTGTCGATTCTGTGCGACACATCCGAACATGTAAGCTGACAATAGTGTGGGGGGAGTGAGTAATCAAGAGTTGCGTGGCACTCAAACAAAAGACGAATCAACGAGATTTGAAAATCGTGTAAGTCGAGATATTACTGTATTAAGAATTTTGGACATTATTTGTTTAGCTGATTTCAGAGTGTGTGATTTAATAATATTTATAGATCAACCAACACTTGATTATACTATTTACTGTATATTAAAATACAGTAAAAGAATTGCAAACACACAAAGAAATACATGAAAGATTTTCTTTAAAATTCTTTATCAAAAATATTCCCCTACTTAAACAAATTTCAATTTTAAAACCTAAAAATGACAATCTTATAAAAATATGGATTTTATTTTTAAAGGATCATCCATATTATTACTGTTGTCAGCACAAATGAGTATTAAGATGATCTAGATCTTTCTTTAGTAGCTCCTTAGACTAATGAACGGTCCCTAAAAACATCCTCCTCTAAATAAAATTTTCTTTGACTCAAACACCTTATGCTTCCAAGAAGTAATATTTATTCATCATCAGGTATTTAAAAAAAAAACCTGATGATGACCTGTGATATAATATAATATTTTTAATAAAGAAATAACTTTTCTTTGCTTTTTTACAGACACACTACGGTGACATTATTCAACACTTGGCAGATTATTCACCACTTTATTCAGTTGGAAAAATATGGAACGCTTTACTATTTTGTGTGTCATCCTTCCGATCTGTGCGCAAGGATGACACGCAAAATCGTGAAACGTTCCATATTTTTCCAACTGAATAAAGTGGTGAATAATCTGCCAAGTGTTGAATAATGTCACCGTAGTGTGTCTGTAAAAAAGCAAGGTAAACTACAACACGGTTTCATCAGTATCAAAAGAAATAACTTTCTTTAGTAGACAATACATACAAGATGTGTCCTTTCTAACGCAGATGAATGATAAGACAATTCCATGGCAGAGTCAACCTTTTATTTGAGGCTTCTCGTCTGCCTCCAATAAAAGGTCGACTCCGCCATGGAATTGCCTTATCCTTCATCTGCGTGAGAAAGGACAAATTGTATAAAAGACACATGTTGTATGCATTGTCTACTAAAGAAAGTTATTTCTTTATTAAAAATTTGGAAACATATAATAGTTTTCATGTATATTTCACATATCATTAAGATACATATCACATGTATTTTATTATATCTTATATAAAGTTTATTTTGTAGTTGGGCATAATACTTTGCATACAATAAACATTTGTCATTATTGGGCCATTGCTTCCTTCTTTTAATTCATTACATTGAGTTTCAACAGTAATTGCGTTGCAATATTTCAATCGTCTTAAAATTTAAGTAATAGAATATCTTTTATAAATGATTAGTCTTGATATTACATACTTTGCAATTTTACAAACTTCAAGAAAAACTGATTATTATACAAAAAAATTAATAATTTCTTCATATTAAAATCCAAGTTATTTTGAACCTTATTGAGTCATCTTCAAAGGGTACAAACTGTTGAAAAAAATCTAACAAACATTACAATTATTAGTACATATTCCAAACCATTCAAAATGTGTTTCAGAATATGTAAAAGCTAATGTTTGTTGCATTTTCTTCAATTTTGGAGACTGTGTATCCTAAAGATGAACCAGCAAGGCTTGAAAAAAATGTTCGAATTTTAAAGATCTCACTCCGATAATTCATAATTTTATTAATTCTCTATAACTTTTGATAATTTCTTTTAATTTCTGAAATCATTTTACTGAGAGATTTATCTTCTTGAAAACCATAAAATTATTATTATAAGACAACTTACTTCCTCATTACTCTCTGTAGATATTACAGGCACACCAAATCGTTCTTTTCTCTTCAAGATTCGGGTTTTTTCTTCAATCTTAAAATAGAAAATAAACCAATTTTAGGATCAAAGTTTAATTTATATTAAAGAACAATTAAAAACACATTGAATATTCTACAGAAAAATATATTTAACACAGAATGTTATCACATCTAAGAGAAAAAAATTAACAACTAAAGTAACTATAGTTAATAATTGTTAAATATATATATTATAATGAAAGTATTTAAATAAGTAGTTATGTTAAAACATTGCTGAATGTCTAAAAGTTACACACATTAATCAATAAAATCTGAAAACAAGCAGTATCTGAAGATTTAATTGCAATTGCCAAAAATAATTGGGCATGTTTCCTAATAAAGTTGCTTTACTTAATTAGCTGGAGGGCACTTTAAGCAATTTCTGCTGTTATAGAAACACTTCAACACCTCAGCTACTCAGCATTGTTGTTTGGCATTTTGTATATGTTGTTTCGTACAAATAAAAATGTTTGTCATAAACAACACGGAACTGTCATCAAGATTATAAAATATCAGTGGCAATCAAGCAATCAAAAAATATTTAATGTAAATATATAAAATTACATGTCTTGACTGACTGACTGGGTGAATCATCATTGCCCAGAGCAAACTGCTGAACCTAAAGAGGTAAAATTTGATACACAGTTAGGATACGTCACAAAAATCTCTTCTTAGTGGATTTTTTGAATCCACTAAGAAGGGATTTTTTGAAATTCCCTAACAGGGAGAAGAGGGAGAGGTTAAGGCTTAACCTGAAGAACAGCTTCCACTGTACTATTCTAGATGCGATTTTTTGTAGTTATAGTAACAACTAATAGTAACAACAATAGTTGTAGTTATAGTAACAACTAATGACTGAGAATCTTAGTGAAGTATTGAGGGAGGGTTATTTCTATCAAATTGCAAATTCCACATGGGTGAAGCCACAGGTAACAGCTAGTATTGCATAAAAATGCAATTACCTGTATGGTAAACAACAACAATGCAAAGTGTACATATGCCATTACTAATAAATCTGAAGACATTTGACTGTCGAAATAGATTATGTAGGAAACTGTATTTCTAATTTTTCTGATAACCAGTTTAAAATAGATTTTTATGTTATGATCTTCATTTGAGGTACAGTACGTAATATGTGTACAATTTATGGTGGCAGCCATCTTAATCCGTCTTCAGTACTTGTGAACCTCACTGCACTAGCACTATAGTGGCTGTCTTAACAAAGTGGCTTTACTACGAAATGTGCAGAATTATCCATTAAATTATAGTTAATAACTCTATTTAGTGACATCAAATACAAATGTGCATTAATTTCATTTGATTAAATAACTTGTCATGATGATTCACAAGTTGAAGCTAATGAAATAGTTCATTACTAAAATAACATGAGGATGAGGAGCATTAATTACCCTTCTATTAGGGAGAGCCAAGGTCCAGTATGACTTTCCTCAAAATAAAGATCCCTAGAGAGGTGAAAAAGGAACAGGACCCAGTAATAAGCTGGTAATTATAAATAGGAAGGCAAAATAAAAGACAAAAAAGAGGAGTGCTGAAAATAGCTTGGCACCAGTCGGTCATTTATTTTTGAATGTGAAGTGGAAAAAATCCACCTGTCTTGTATTTGATGAAATAGCAGAACTTTCAAATTAGTTGAAGTGTATAAATAAACTTGACTACAGCCATATACAAGCAAATGTAAATTCAAAACAAAGCAAAAACAATACAAAAGCTACAATTAACATACATTCTGAACCTGACTTAACCATTCATGCTTGATATCTCGAATATATTATAAATTTTCTACAACTAACAAATATTTGACTTTATTCATATTTACAATCATTTTGTTGCCATTTTTAATGAAGATATTACTTGAATTTCTTTTTCAGTTTTGTTAAATTAAAACTTTTGTTTGTACAACACAAATATCTGTACACTTAGCTAACTAGCATCAATGTTTTCTAAATACGCCCAAACACTTTGCAACCGTATACAATTAATAGCAATTGCTTAAATGTGTTTAAAAAGTTTTAATTTTGTTTTACAATAATAAATAATGTTTTAGATTCATTTCTAAAAGTGTTGTATCAAAATTTTATATACAAGAACAAGCATACATTGGGTAATCACCAGATACACATAATACACAAGTTCTCCTATCTGGATGACACTCGCTGTAAAACCAAATATGCTCAACACCTTGCCATCACTCAGAATGAATGCAGCAAACAGCACCCAACTTTTTATTATGATGAATTTTGAGATCATAACTCAAAAATATAAATCAGTAAACACTGAACTCACAAATACACTGATCATAATGTACGGAAAACATCACACTTGCCTTCAAGTCTTGCCAAATTAGAAATATATATATATAAGTTATGCTGATCACAGCTTATTAGACATCATGCAAAATCTAAGCATGTTTACTTTTGTATTGAATTTTTACAAGTTAAAATAAAAATATTATTTGTCCTGGTCTATTAAAAATTTTTAATGCAGAAACACATCACAACCTGTTGAAGTAAAGGATAAATTTGTATCCAACTTTGTACGTGAATTTTTCAGCAAATGATATAAATAGAACCCTATAAAGTAGTTCAAATATATGCATATAAAATATCACATCTGTGAATTGAAAGCAAGAATTTATTAATGTGTTTTTGAAATACTACTAAATATTAAGAATTAAAATAGAATTTGATGTTTATATCTTACAACTGTAGAGTTTCCTAATAGATAAAAAGCACAAAATGTTATGATTTCAAAAATACAGAATTTAACTTAATGTAGCAATGTTGCCGTTATTATAGTTACATCATTACAAGTGATTTGTTTTGTATATAAATTGCTCACAAATCTTGTGTAGTTAATTTTGCTGAATGGTTTCAAAATTAAGGACCAAAAACCCCATAGTAGTAGGCGTTAACCTGCTCTGGGGACCCAGGATAGGCTCTGGGATAGGGGAAAAAACCATGGGAATTTTCAGGAGTCAGTCCATCCTAAACATTTCAACCTCCAACTTTCACCATCTGTGCAAACCAATGATGAGTACAATTAAAAGGCTATACAATAAAGTTTCCACAGAATGGAATAAAAAATATTGAAATGTTAGAGTATTGATTTTGCTCAATTTTTACTTTCCTGGACACTATATATAACAGAGGAAAAGTATGATAATCAGTCAAAAAACTAACTCCCCAAGATTTTTATATTTTTGGACTCGGGACCTTGAAACATCAAAAAATGCAAAAACATTTGGGAGTTTTTTCTGTATGTATGAATGTGTGTGTGTGTGTGGAGGGAGTCACTACTTTGTTACCCTGTTTGAAGCTTAACAACGCATGTGCCTTTTCTCGAAATTTTAAAGAAAAGTTATGTATTTTCAAGATAAGTTTCTTACAAAAAAGATTATTATGTTCTTTTAGCATCAATTTTTATCTTAGAAAAAAAAAGGTACCTCTTTCATGATAGTAGAGACATTTTGTCCAAACCTCTCGGCTCTTTTCTTTAAACAATCTAAATCGATGGGCTACAAATAAACATAGCTTCATTGAAACAACATTATAATCAATCATAAATTAAAAACTGAGTAATTCTACATATTTTAAATAAACTGTAATATAAAAAAAAGGTTGAGAACCTTTTTTATATTACACTCCATTTTCTCATCATAGACTTGTAAAGTTATGGATAATTTTATAAATTTACTACTTATTTTTAACTTACTATAAGCTTATCTAGAGTTACTGTATGCAACAAGTTACGTACAGTAACTCTACATTACTATTTAAATAACACCCATAATCAACTACACTAGTGTCAGTACGATCTAATATTTTTCTGTAAACTGGTGAAATTTTTTCACATACCAGCACAGGTTCACGAACTGACAGTTGAAAAACATCATAAAATGTTTAAAGTTTTTGGCAAAACACTTATATTTAATTAAAAATTACTGAAAATTTTAAATTATTTGCATTACTTACGGCTGCACCAATACTTCCCGACAAGGATTTGACTGTTTTATCACTTTTGACATCCGATCCAAACCTGAAACAATTCTTTTTTTAGTTAATAAACTTACATACTAGAGAATTTTTATTTTAAATGAATAAAAATACTTATATATATACAATTTCTTCTTTAACTGCTGCTATATACGTGTTACAAAATAGTTTATGCTTTATTGATCAACCCTTTCATGTTCATTCTCCATTTTTTAAAAATTAGTTTGGTTAGAGATAGAATAATGTGACCAGGTTTACGCAGTAAAAACTTATTTTTCTTCATACATATTAATTTTTTAACATAACCTTCATTTACAGTGAATTTTTCCTTAATTTATTCATGTACAGCAGTTTGAACTTCCACATCCATCAAAACGTCAAAAACTATTGACTTTTTATACAGGGTTCCTACTCAAATTTTTGTTTTAAATTCCCCGACTTCTCTTGACCAACTTTGTACAAATTCCCTGACCAGCACATCACATTCCTTCTTGCTGACTGCAACAATTAGTCAAGCATACTGTCAGCAAAAAATCAACAAGACAGCCAAGGTAGCAAATTCCTTGACTTTCCAGGTGCATAGGAACTCTGTTTATAATACTATGTTTAATTTTGTGACAATGTAAGCCAGATGGAGTCATATTTGGACTGTAAGGAGAGTGCAGAATGATTTATATTCTTAAGTGTCTAGTTTCCTCACTGCAGAGCAATCTTGCATTACTACAGTGCAAAAACGAAGATTCTTTCTGGTCTCATTCTGCAAATATGTCTCAAGAACTTCTTAAGGTTTCTCAATACTTCACCAAACTAATTACTTCTCTCTTTGCATGCAACTTTCCAATGCTTAAAATTCAATCAGTGATCATGTATGGAATGAGGATAATGAGTTTATTGTTGAATTTCAAATGGTAGCTGTATTATGTATTATATAGGTAAATGTCTCTTCAATCCGAACAAAATTTCGGTAGACTTTNTTCCTCGGCGCGCCTCCCAATGATCATCTCAAATGGTTAGAGGCGATGCACATCTTTAAAGCCTCTATCGATACTACGTGCATAAATTTTAAAGAGGAGATGCTTTTGTCGATGGCCTGGCAAGAGTTGATTCACAACACGATTCAGCCGCCCGTTATATCCGAGTAGGCAGACTCGGCACGCATGCGCGTCGTATAATTTTGAAAGAACGATTCGAACTGAAGATCGTACTTATTTTAATGACATTCGTTATTCGAATTTACGAGCTAAAACTGTAGGAACCTGATGAAGAGCCCAGAAGGGGTTCGAAAACGTTTGTTTTTCGTTATTTTTCGTCGTTTATCGTACCACACCGTAAATTTGGTTCAGTGTATGTGATTATTATTGAGGTGTGGTGAGTAGTTTGTTTTTAATATACAGAAGTTCTAGCTTACTATACATAGAATTATATAAATGTTTTTTAATAGACAAAATATCTGAGAAATCAGGAATATCCCACTGAGCCCACCCACCATTGGTTCCTATTTTATATAGTGAAACACAGCTTACAGTTCATATCATTTGTTGGAATCCAAGTGATTTCCAGAGAAAGATGGAGAAGAATATACTTGGGTTGATGTTTAAAGGCAGGAAAACTAATCATTATACAAAATCTCAGAACAATATAAAAGACCTTGTTGAATATATAAAAACACAAAATGAAGATGGGTAGGGCTTGTGACAAGATTGAGAGACGAAAGATGGAGTTAACTGGTGAAGGAATAGCAACATTATACTAGTAAAAGAGGAGGAAGATCACTCGACAGAAGCAGGTATGAATTTTAAAATGGAACAGATATTTCATTGATTGAGAAAGCATCTTCAAGTCAAAAAGTTGATCAGATACCTTCATTTCCTCNTACATACGGAAACAATAGCCAAGTAGTGTTTACCTGTGTTTAAAACGGTGTTTATGGCACGTACACACGCTAGATAACTAGTAATTTTACGTGTCAATTAATTAGCGTTTGAATTTATAAACAGATATTTTTGTGGGGGGAAGGGGGATTAAATACAGAAGTCAGTGACGTAGAATGTTCTTATGTGACGAATACTAAAAGGAATCACGTCAAAAGAATGCACACTCTACACGTTAAGGCACATTTTCTTAATCATTTTCACATCTGAAGCTATTAAATTTTTAAAAATTCAAATTTAAAACTCACAACGTCACAGAATTAAGCTGTGACGTCATTTATTACGTGTATGTGACGTGTGTTGATCTAATTGGATGATCGAAGTTAACTACTGTATTTTTAAATTTAAAGACTGTTGATTGTGAATTTGTTTAACATTATTATTATTATTATTTGTGACGTCGATTTTCGTTATTGTTTACGTCACGTATATATAGATAGATGGCGATTGGCTAGTTTAAATTATTAAAATTAATTCATGCGTCGTCACTCTTTTTAACAGTGATATCGAACATTCGAAATAATAATTTAAAAATGGCGAACGGCGATTGGTCGATTAGTAACTAATTTTATTACGACGTCATACGGCTTCTTTCGATTCAACTAAGGCGCTAGATTACCCAGGTATGCTCATACGCTTCCGTCACGTGTGCAGCCATATTGGTCCTTTTGACGTCATATTCCAAAAATTTTAAATTTAGCTGTATTTTATAACTAGTTGAACTAAATTTTGGCAAAGTTTATCATTTCGACCTTGCAAAATCTTAAGATACAGTTGAATTTATGATTATTTTCGTGTCTCTTCTATTGAACTTCTACGAGAGTCGTCAGCTTTCTAAGGACCAACATGGCGGATGAGCATACCTGGGTTATCTAGCGCCTTAGATTCAACCACCTCCTCGAGTGACGTCACACTGCGTAGGACGTTAACCGATGTGGATTGGTGGAAAAGAAAAACCACAATATTGTTTAAAATACCAAACGTCACAATTAGAGTAGGTCGCCATCTAGACGTAAAAATAGTAACTAATTAAAAAAAAAATTATTATTATTATTTTATAAATGAAAGAAAAAAAAAACACTTTGTTTATTGAATTTTAAAGAAATTTAATTTTTCTTAAATATTTTCGAATGCTAAAATTAATTATAACGGCCGGAAATTAAGGCACGAGTCAATCAAGATGCAATATTACTAACAACATTTTAATTTCTTTTATTTATTTATTATTTTTGTACTGTAATTTTTAAATGTAAAACAACTGAATATCTCCTAAACCGTTTCAAGTTTTATATATAAAAGTTTATCAGTCTCGAAGGCAGAATAGGAATAAAATTGATTTTGCGTTGTCTCCCCCTTTTTGACATAATTTCTCAAAATAAGAGGAAAATAATTAGAAGAAAAAAAATTGGATATAAGTATACATGTTTACACAGAAAAATACCTTGTTTTCGTGAGTGTATAACCATCAAAATTCTTTATAAATTATCACTGATTGTTTAGAACATTGTTTACTTTCTTCTTATAGGCAAAAAGAACATCAATTAAAACCGGTGGATATACCTAGAAGTGTATACATTTATTATTCCACGATAGTTGCTCCGAGCCAAAGTGTGGATGCTGTTTTCTTGTTCCGCTTCCTGTTGTCGGACGAAATTCTTCGTTCTTTTAACTACGGCTTTAAAAAACATCTAGCTTCATATCAAGTTGAATCGTTCCGCTCTCTTCCTCTTCCGCTCCTGCTTAAAAGAAACAAATGAGTTTAAAATGAAAACGTCCATTCAAAAATATCTAAATGCTAGTTTACGTTTGAGATAAATACTGTTGTATTCAAAGCGGTTGGGAGATTGCATTCGTGTTAGCTAATCTTTACGATATGTTATGTTTATTTTGTTACCGATAAAAAGAATATTGGAAAAGTTAAATAAAATATGGCACAAATTCTTGTGATAATGTTAAGTCATTATTTAACTGAATTCGTCGTATCAGATATATAATGTTAAGTCATTATTTAACTGAATCAGTCGTATCAGATATTCTTTACTTGAATGGATGCGTGATATGTGTATAGAGGATAGTGTTCGATGTATCATATATTTATATGGTGGTAGAGGTTTGCGAAATAAACATCTTTAATGAAGCAACCCGGGGTCGGAAGCAAAATTGATGAAGCTGTGGCCCACAGAAAATTTGAATATGCTGTGCCGTTACCGTGTTTCCATATTTACCTTCTCTGTCTCGTCGTGTATGTTTTGAGATAATAAATACTAGGTACAGTACATTCTATACAGAATAGTAAATGAAACTTTATTGATATTTTCCTGTGTATTTACAATAAAAGTTCAAAGTGGCAACTGCCAATTGCATTATGCAGAATATGATGGGCCACTTTTCGTCGTACTCTCTGGAAGAGTGCTTTTTATTCTGATGGTGTCAAAAATGGAAATGATACAGATGGACAGTTCTTTCTTTGCTTTGATTGATGTTTTGTACACCATGCTCTTTAGGGATCCTAGGAAGTAGAAACAAGGAGGTGAGGCATCCAAATTTTTGTTTTCAACCCTAATTTCATAAAAATACTCTGTTGTCAACCTCTACCAACACTTAAACTTATGGCATGCCAAACATTAACATCCTATTATACAGTAATATCACAAACTTTCGTGATAGGCGGGACTGAGCGATAACCACTTAAGTCGAGTTCTCATAAGTCGGGGTATAATTTCGCAATTTGTGTAAAATCCAAGTCAGATGTATGTAAGCAAATAAATGTTCTCGTTAATCTTATCTCGTCTTTTGATTCGTTCATGGTTACAAGAAATCACCACACACACTCAAGTCTCCGTAGATATAACAAACATTCTACATTCTAATAAAGAGTTAAGAGGGCTNTATGTCTCAAGAACTTCTTAAGGTTTCTCAATACTTCACCAAACTAATTACTTCTCTCTTTGCATGCAACTTTCCAATGCTTAAAATTCAATCAGTGATCATGTATGGAATGAGGATAATGAGTTTATTGTTGAATTTCAAATGGTAGCTGTATTATGTATTATATAGGTAAATGTCTCTTCAATCCGAACAAAATTTCGGTAGACTTTCTCACAGCTCTACAGGTTAAAAATCTCCTTTATTGCTTTTCACATATGCATTTCGGGCAAGTTTTATTTTTCCTGCCCCTCTTCAGTGCTACAAAACAAATTCATATTGAATTTACACAAAACAACTTTATAGTAGAAAATGCTTACAAGACATAAAAAGAACCTTGCCATCACTCAGAATGAATGCAGCAAACAGCACCCAACTTTTTATTATGATGAATTTTGAGATCATAACTCAAAAATATAAATCAGTAAANCATTAGTTCATTTGATTTAATTTTAAAAATTTGATAGAAAAAAAAAGAGAAAGATGTTTTGAAACTTAATATACAGAAGTTCTAGCTTACTATACATAGAATTATATAAATGTTTTTTAATAGACAAAATATGACAAATTAAAAAATGGCCCACTGAGAAATCAGGAATATCTCACTGAGCCCGCCCACCATTGGTTCCTATTTTATATAGTGAAACACAGCTTACAGTTCATATCATTTGTTGGAATCCAAGTGATTTCCAGAGAAAGATGGAGAAGAATATACTTGGGTTGATGTTTAAAGGCAGGAAAACTAATCATTATACAAAATCTCAGAACAATATAAAAGACCTTGTTGAATATATAAAAACACAAAATGAAGATGGGTAGGGCTTGTGACAAGATTGAGAGACGAAAGATGGAGTTAACTGGTGAAGGAATAGCAACATTATACTAGTAAAAGAGGAGGAAGATCACTCGACAGAAGCAGGTATGAATTTTAAAATGGAACAGATATTTCATTGATTGAGAAAGCATCTTCAAGTCAAAAAGTTTTTCAGATACCTACATTTCCTCAGTGATGATTAATATTAGTGATGGGACAATTAATCGGAAATGAAAAAA